GTTTAACAGAAAGAAAGAGAGTAAGCTTTAGGTTTAAAGGTAATAAGATTAACCATGGAAGGAGATGACCTGAAATAAAAGCACCATGTCAGTTTATTCTTTGACATTCCCCCAAGAAATTCATTAGAATCAAATTTGGGAGGGGAGATGTACACTGGTTTGTTCAAAAGTGAGAGGAGGATTGAGATATCAGACTCATTCTTGGACATATCAAATTTATGAAGAATGCAAATGGAAGTAGAAGATTTCAAAATAAGTCTTGTAAAATGATCTGTGTGCAAATATTTTGGAGAGTTTTAGGCAGTCTCAGGGGCATCACACCCCAGTTGGGTGATCACTACAGAGGCAAATCTTTCAGAAAGGAACACGTGAATGAGAAGGTCAAAGAAATGTAGAGGCTGTTGGATGAAGCGTATTTTATTTTTGAAAAGGAAAGATTGCTGGGAATGATCCATTAGAAATGCACATTAATATGAACTCCCAGAGAGGTGTTTGCAGAGGGCTGGGAAGCACAAGTTGGGAACCGGGCCCCGAGGACAGGAACCCCAAAATCAAATTCACTGCCATCCCATCAATGCTGCCTCAGAGTGACCCCCAGGGGTTTCTGAGACTGCAATTATTTACAAGAGTAGAAGCCCAGTTTTTTCCCACCACGGATAGTAGGGGCACATAATTTCTGGTAACAGTTTCACACGCCTCTTCCTCTATGACTTTGCATTAACTTTATCTTTTGATTTGTTTACTGTACATTTCTTCAACTACCATAATCCATACTGAAGGCTGAAATCCTTGATCTTCATCAACATACCTCAAAATCATTCTCACTTTCAGCAAGCAAGGGTATGTTATCTGCCTCTGGCAGGCTGTTAATAAGCCTTCCTCCTATCCTGATACCCCATTCTTCATATAATCTGGCTTCTCTAATGATTTTCTCAGCATACAGACTGGATAAGCATGGTGAGAAGACACACATCTTTCTTGATTTTAAATACCATGTAGTATTCCCTTGTTCTGTTTGTATAACTGCTTCTTGATCCTTCTACAAGTTCCTCATGAGCACAATGAAGTGTTCTGAAACCCCCATTCTTCTCAAGGCTATCCATAGTTTATAATGAGCCACACAGTTGAATGCCTTTACATAGTCAATAAAACACAACTACACATTTTTCTAGTGTTCTCTGCTTTCAGCCAAGATCCATTTGATGTCAGTAATGATATCCCTTGTTCCCCAACTTCTTTTGAATCTGGCCTGAACCTCTGGCAGCTCCCTGTCACATATTGTTCTAAATTTGAGCATTCTGTTGGGTCACATTTCTTTGTAATAGGTACAAATATGAATTGCTTCCAGTCAGGTGACCAGTTACTTGTTTTGCAAGTTTCCTGGCATAGATGAGGAAGAGCTTTCAGTGCTTCATCAGCCTGTTGAAACATTTCATTGGTATTCCATCAATTCTGGGAGCCTTTGTAAAAATTTATTATTAACTGGGAGTTAATACATATATCATTCCATAATTCAATCACGTCAAGCAGAATTGTGTAATTGCTACCACAATCAGTTTCCAAACATTGTTTTTCTTCCTGGATTCCTGGACATCATCTCCCTTTTACCTCCCCGACCCCTATCACTACTGTGCCCCCTCCCCCCGCTCCCCAAACCCTTATTCTACTTGCCGTCGCTGTAAGTTCATCAATCCTCAGTTTCATATACTGAAACACAGAAAAACATATAACACGACTTCATGAAGGTGACCTCCAATGATATAACCCCTCTGAGATACACTCTAATATGAAAAAATAAAACAGCATATCCATGACAGGTTTTCTGGAATAATACATATCTTAATACAGCATATAGGGCATATGTTTGTCTGTCTACCAACAGTTCAACAGTCTTGGTACAGCTGTCTTTGCTTCCTCAGACACCATGTATTTTCTGACATGTCTTCAGGTTACAAGTGTGTCTGCGGAAGAGTCCAGGTCATCCAGTGGAGTGTCCACATGGGATCTCACTGATGCAGCCTCTGGAGCATGCTGTGCACCTTGAAGATCCAGGATTCGGTGGCTCGGCGCTCCACAGCACCAAGCCTGAGTCCCCAGAACACACCCAGAAGACCAACTCAATGTGGCCTATACGGTGCATACCACCAAAGACACTACCCACCAAGGGTCCCCAAAGCATTTTCTGTCATTCTTCTCCCAAAATGGAGGTCAGTCCTCCTCTTTTCCTACCAGCAGACATGCATGTGTGTCCCCAGACGTGTTTGCTCCGTTTCCCTCTGGTGTGTTGTTTTCCCATCGTATCCTTCATCCCGGTGACAGGGCTGGCTACCTGTCTGGGGGACCTCATCATAGATTTACATTGGAGCCTTATGTTTGACCAATGCGTCCATTGCAGCTTGAATGTCTTCCTTTAGCACCATTGGCTCTTGTTCATATGCTACCTTCTGAAGTGGTTGAATGCCGACCAGTTCTTTTTGGTACAGTGACTCTGTGTACATTTTTCCATCTTCTTTGGATGCATCATTCACTATTTTTCCTCTAGAATCTTTCTATATTGCAATTCTAGGCTTGAATTTTTTCTTGAGTTTTTTCAGTTTAAGATACGTTGAGTGAGTTCTTCCCTGGAACTCTGGAACTTGGCTCTTAATTGTAAAGCACCCAAGGCAAATGGAAGAAATTATGAAGTCAAAGAACTGAATAGAAAATTTCAAAGGGCAGCTCAAGAAAACAAAACAAAATATTATAATGAAATGTGCAAAAACCTAGAGTTAGAAAACCAAAGTGGAAGATCATGTTTTGGAAGAAATAACATTATGAAAATGTGAATACTAAAAAAAATAATAAAAGAAAATAAATTTTAAAAAAGAAAATGTGAATACTAGCTAAAACAATCTATAAATATAATGCAATTCTGATCCAGATTCCAGCATCATTCTTTAAAGAGATGGAAAAACTAAGCACCCTTTTTCCATGGAAAAGAAAGGGTCCCAGGGTAAGGAAAAAACTATTAAGGCAGAAGAATAAAGTAAGATACCTCTCACTTTCTAACTTCAAAACACAGCCAAAGTATTCAAAACAACTTGGTAGTGGTACAGTGAGAGATCGATAGATCAATGGAACAGCGGGGAGATCCCAGAAATAAATCCATCCACCTACAGACAACTCATTTTTGACAAAGGGCCAAAATATATCAAAAGGGGAAGTTATCATCTCATTCATGAATGGTGCTGCCAAAATTGATTTTTATTAGCAGAAGAGTGAACGTGGACCCATAGCTCGCTCCATACAAAAGCAAACAAACAAACAAACTCAAGGTGGATTAAAGACCTAAACGTAAACAGAAAAGATCATCGTCGAAACGATAGGGACAAACTTAAGGGCTTTAATGCACAGCATAAACAGTACCAAATACAATGAAAAGCATAGCAGATGACAAAAATAGATGGTTAGGGCCACTTAAAATAAGATATTAAAAAAAGAAGATATTTAAAAATAAAATTAAATAAAATTAAAAAATAAAAACCAGAACCCACAGATAAAAAAAATTCTGGGCAGTGATATATTGGACAAAGGACTACTCTCTGAAGTCTATAGAAAAAGGTTAATTATCCAATTAAAAAATGGGCAGAGGTCATGCACAGACAGTCCATCAAAAAAGACTTCTAGTCAGACAAACATATTATGAAGTGCACGTGATCATTAGATTCAAAACATGAAAATCAAAACAATGATTTAGCTGTTCGAGATGAGGGACAGCTTGGGAACAGGGCGGGATGGGTTGCTGCCAGGGAGGGATGAGGAATGGGATGGGGAAGAAAAAGGACCACTCACATGGAAGGTTTAATAGGATTTGGGTGTTGATTTCATTTCATGAGATGGGCTGCGTAATTCTATAGTGTGTGTATTTGGTGTATACCCCAAATAAACAGTAAAGTACCCTCAGATACATGTACAGGTCGCTAGATTAGGGGGAAACGGGGATGTCCTCCCAAATGCCTCCCTAGCAGGGCCACAATAGAGGGGTTGGAAAAAAATCAGGCACAGGAGTTAGACACCTACGGGAAAATGCAACCTGGGCCACACACAATACTAGGCACCAGCCACGTAACTCCACACAGGTGCGCTTAAACTCGGCCAAGAACGTGAGGCAACACCCTCGACCACGACACACACACACACACACACACACACACACACACACACGATCACTACCAACGTACTTTCAGGGGACAAAACTCAAGACTTGAAGGACTGCCAGTGTCTCACAACTCTCTCACGAGAGTCAGTTGCACTGGGCCACTTGTACTGCTTTATATTTTAACTTTTCATTTCTTGTATTATATATCTATCTGTATATAATATAACAGTTCATTTCTTGTGTTATTTATCTATCTTTATAAAATTATTGGCAATCTGGTTTTGTCTCTCTAGAGAACCCTGTCTAACACAAACCACTTATTTTTCCATTAAGAAATCTTTAATCTTTTCAAAGTTTTCATAGTTTTTCCCCATAATGCAAGCATAAATAAATAAATAAATAATCTTTACAATTTCTACTAGTTAGTTATGTCCTAAATATACATCAGAGTATATTCCGGTTAATGCTCAGGGGTCCTAAATCCCACTTTAGTCTCCCATAAATAGATATTATGATCATTAGGTACTCATAATATTTACTCGTTAGAGACATGAAGCACAATTTGGGACACCTTGAGCATTTATTTGTCACCTAATTGTAATGGGAAATATTCAGGAATCAAGTCAAGCCACCTCAAATTATCTTTGAAGTGAAAACCAAACACACACACACACACACACACACACACACACACACACACACCCTCAAACCCACTGCCATTGAGTGATTCAGACTCATGGCAACTTTCTGTAAGGTTTCCTAGACTGTAAATATTTACAGAGGTAAACCACCTCATCTTTAAAATCCTCTGTGAAATGAAACAGGATGTAAATGTTCGAATGACCTTCATGGTTCTGTTTTCACAAAAGAAAAATTCAAAGAAACTGAAACACAAGATTTATTCTGAGCAATGTATAGGGAGGCCACCCTGATGCTAAGAAACAAAGCAAATCGCTCCAAGTATGCTAATTGCAATGAAGTTTATAAGTCTAAGAGGAGAAGTATACATCGACCAATAGCTAATATTAACATGAATTTTTCAGATCAATTGATAGATTCGGAGTGGTCTCTGGTCTAATTACTAAATCTTTTACTATTGCCTGCTCTGAAAGAACCAATAGATCCGAGAAACCACAAACAGTTCAGGAATTGTTACAGTACATATTTATTTCCGTGGGTGAGGAAAAAAACCCATAAACTCATATTAAGATATTTATTAAATTTCAGGGGCAGATAAATAAGCTAGGTAAATAGTGTGCTTTCTTACTTATAGAGAACAATTTTGCACGACTTTTTTCACATCTTTGGGCATAACAGAACGGGAATGCAGTAAGGAAAGAATACCTGAAAGAACACCAAAGACACATTGGCAATTGTAGGGTGGGAGAAAAGCCCCCACCTGCCCTCTAAGCCACTCCTCTAGTCCCTTTGTGATTTCCCTGCAGCTTGCTCAGGCAGCAGTGCCACCCCCGACCGCACGGGGACAGTGTAGGCACACTGAGCTCTGTGGTGGCGGCCCAGGGCCCCTCTTGGCCACGCCCCGAGGAGGCCCCGCCCGGTGGCCTCGTTCATTGGCTGCGGGGCGGGCGCTGCCATGTTGGCGGAAGCAGTGCCCTGTGGGCAGTGGAAATTGACCGTGGCTGCGGCCGCCGTGTCTGTGTGCAAGGCCTCCTGGTCTGTTTACCTCTTGTGTGTCTCGGTACTGAGAGGCAGCGGCCAGCGGGATGGAGAAGACGAGGATGAACCTCCCCAAGGGACCGGACACATTGTGCTTCGACAAGGATGAGTTTACGAAGGTGCGCGCCGGAGCTTCCCGTCCCTGAGCCGGGCCAGGCGTTAGGTTCTGGTGCTGTCTCACCCCCGGCGCTCTCCGGGTTTCCGCTGTCGCTGCTCACGCCCCCTCCCAGTACCTGCGGAGTGGGACCCCGGAACCTACCCTGTTGACGGGTCCTCGAAGGAGACCTTGTAGCACTTTGCAGTGAATCTCTTGGCTCACAGACGTGGCCTGGAGTAAAGCCTGCTGTGAAATCGTACAGATTGGGTGCAAAGGCTTCAAGGTTCCGGGCAAGGGGTTGTGAGATTAATTTAAAACCCTTGTTATTACCGGATCCTGTCTCTGTGCAGTGTCGTCAGATTGCCAGGGCCCCTGTCTGAATCTTGTGTGAGCACTGCCGTGTGCACATAGAAGCTCAGCAATTCTTAAACTCGATGCACATCTGCTAAGATCGAGTTGGCGGGGGTGTGGTGGGGGGCACTTAATCTAAAACTTAAGGAGCCCGGGTGGTGTAAAGTTTACGCGTTGGGCTATGATCCACAGTTCAAAAGCATCGGGGAAAGCTGGGGCTCTCTATTCCCGAGAGTTACCGTCTAGGAAACGTACAGGGGCATTTCTACCTTGACCTGTAGACTCCGCTATAAGTTGGCATAGACGCAATGACAGTAGTGAGTTCATCTAAACCAGCATTCACCTTAAACTTCTAGAACGAGACGGGATATACGCCCTAATTTTGTTGCAGTTCAACAAACAAAACCTTTTCCTATTCTAAAGTTGCTGTATATCTCTTTATAAAATGAACCTAAAGTTAGCCTGCAGATAATTGTAGGAAATACTTTTCAAGAAAATAAATGTGAATTGAAAATGTTTACTGAAAGAGTTATCAAGTACAGCCTTGAAAATGCCCAGGATTTGAATCAGAGGTAGAGGAATTTTGGCTACTTATTTGGTATATTCTTCTGAGTCTACACTTACTATTGACACCACTTAATAGCTACTTTTAGCGTTTAAAAGTTAAAAGTTTTGACTCATAGTAGATATCTAAAATTTTGAAAGACTGAATTTCTCTCTCAATTAATTTTCAAGTTAAAATGTATGCTTCTTTCACTCTCAAGGTAAATCATTCTCTCTGCTTTTTAATATTTGCATTCAAATCACAGCTCTGAAACTCTAGATTAAAAAAAACACAAAACTTTTTTTAGCTGGATCATTTTTAGTGTGGCCATATCATTTTTAATATGTGAGAACCATATAGACCTAGGAATAATGAACTGTCGCTTTGATCTTGCTAAACTGCCAGAGTGAAACATGTAACCAGAGTGGTTGTGCCCACAGGAGATTGTTAACTTCCTGGTTTAGGAATTTATTTCACCTCCTGGCTAAGTGCAACTCTGAAGTAAGGGAAGCATGAACTAAGGACACATGATTGGACCAAGGACACAAACAGATTAGGAACATTGTTCTGACTGCAGGAGCACAGAGTATCTTAACTTGTTTATCTTTATTTCATCAGACCTCCTGGGTTCTCAACACTGACATCTTTCGGCTCTACTCCCAGTTCCTTTGTTAATCTTAGGTGACCGAATATCTTCGGAAAATGAAGTTTCAGGAAGTAGAAATCATAAAATTTTACTTCCAAGAGAGAGGAGAGGGAGACAACTGGAGGAGTAGCAAAAATAACAGCAAGTCTGTGTTTTTTCTTGACAGTATTATAAAATTTATTTCTTGAATAAATGTTGAACTCGTGGCCCCTTGAAACACCGATTTTTACTTGTGATATTTCTTTGAAGTTAATAGTAGGAAGCTTAATATACATAGGTTGGTTTTGTTTTACTTTTTGCATTTAATATCAATTTTATTTTGAGCATTTACTTAACAAATTAATTGCATATTGAGGCTTGGGTCTTTTCTCTTTTTTTTCAAGTTCCCCAGAGCCAAGAACTCAAGTAAATTGAAAAGTAGGCGAAATGTGCCATAGATTATCATTAGTGTTAAATTGGGAGAAATAGGAGAGGGAAATAAGAAATCTGACATGGAGCAGATTAGGTACTCAAATATTAGTTAACTAGATGAATACATTTTCCAGTTAGAGATTTCCTTTGCCTTTTCAGAAATACACAAGTAGTCCTTAATGTGTGAGTTACAATGACCTACCTGTTAATGATCACTTTTTGGGGGTACATCTTACCATTAGTAATATGTACTAAATATTGTGATGTTAATGTGTTAATGCCATCATCCTCGGATGTTCACTTACAGGTGTCCAAAATATAGGATACATCAAGATAGCATAATGATAGGCAATAATAATGGGTGGGGGGGTTAGATATCCTACTTTTCAGAACCAATTTAGCAACAGTCACCGTAACAAACCCTGTCATAAGCTTGGGACTGCCTGTAATGTCAAACAGGTATAATATTAAACAAAGGAGCTAGATGTGAACTTTAATTAGTCATTAGAATATAAATTCTTTAGAAATTGTTATTTCAGCCTATTTTAAGATAGTCTCTTCATAGATGGTAGACAGAACTCTTGAGCATACATTCTGTTTCTCAAGCTTGAATTATTGGGTAACCAGATAAAGATTTTTATTTAGGGACATGACCTTAGCATCCCTGTGCAGTGGGGATACCCAGTATCACAGCCGGGACTAGATTTGAAGGCAGGGGCTGGAGGGTACAGTTCTAGGGTTGTCCGTCATCTCCCACTGTTCCCTAGGGCAGTAACATTCTTTCTTATGTTTCCTCATGGCTAGCTCCTTTGTCAGTGCTTTTTCTGATTAGCTGTGTTAACGTACCTCTCCTCCACTTGCTTCACAGTGCCCTTTGAATTTTCTTTCTGGCACTTATCATCATTCATTAATATCATGCTTATGTATTGTGCCATTTTTGCAGTAGAATATTTGCTCCTTGATAACAGAGTTGTCTTTCTTTTTGATATCTATATCCCCAGTACTTAGAGCAGTACTTGAGGCACATAATAATTATATCTTATTATTGAATATACCAGGGCATTTTTTCATCTTGATAGCCCTTTAATCTTTGGAAATGGTTTGAAACACATTCACATATATTTACATCCACTTAGATCATATTAATATCATATTACTTCCAACCCTTATTTTATTCAGTTTAGCACTTGATGCTCTATTGTATAAACTTCTGTCTCAGTGAGATAGTACACGTTTCAAGGAGGCAGATCATATCTTAAACATTGTGTTCCTTCTTTGAAATATTTCCCATTATTCCCAAATATTTTCTATCATCTTCCATACATGTGGATGTTAGACACTGAATTAGGAAGACTGGAAAAGAACAACTGCATTAGAATTGTGTGCTAGAGAAGAATATTGAAAGTACCATGGACTGTTAAAAGGACAAACAAATCTGTCTCGGTAGAAGGTGCCACCAAAGGGCTCCTTAGAGGCAAGATTGATGAAGACGTCAATGTACCGTGGCCGTATTGTCAGGAGAGACCAGTCCCTAGAGAAAGACATCATACCATACTTGGTCTAGTGGAGGGGCAGTGAAGGAGGAAAGCCCTCAAGGAGATGGACTGACACAGTGGCTGCAACAGTGGGCTCAGGCCTAGAAGCAATTGTGAGGGTGGATGGCACAGGACTGTGCAGTGTTTTGTTCTGTTGTGCAGAAGGTCACTGTGGGCCAGAACTGGCTAGATGATAACTAACAAGTCTACCTATCTGTGACTACGGGAGATTCTTCCATTTGTGTAGGTCTCTCTTGGTTTCTTGTAATAGTGTTCTTTGGTTTTCTTTGTGTTGGTCTTTTGTTTCTTTGGCTGGGCACATTCTAAGTATTTCTTTTTTGGTAGCTATTATAAATAGTATTGTTTTCTTGATGTATTTTTCAGAGCTCTCGTTGCTGCTATACAGGAATCCAGTTGATTTCTTCCTATTAATCTTGTATTCTGCTACTTTACCAAATCTCTCAATTGCTTCTAGCAATCTTTGTGGAGTTTTGAGGGCTTTCTGTATATAAAATCATACCAACTGCAAAGAGTGAGAGTGTCATTTATTTTTAATGAATTTTTATTAACCCTCTCAAAATATATTTTCCCATGGTTTTCTCAAATGTTTTAGTCTATTCAGGTATTGTGGAAATAGATTCCCTGAGGAAAAGGTGAGAGAGCAGTGATAGAAAAGCCAGGAGAGATGTGTAAGCAAATATTCAGCTCAGAAGAAGAGGATTTCTGTGTGTGTGTGCGTGTGTGCGTGTGTGTGTGTGTGTGTGTGTGTATGTGTAGTATTTCCATTTCCACACACACACATATACAATGATGCCTCACTTCGGTTGTCGAACAGCTCCACGCTCTGACTTCCACTTCTCGAACAGCAGAGTTCAAAGACATTTGCTTATTGTTCTTAACTTTGCTTGATAGTAAAACCAAAAATCCAACTTGAAAAAAACTTGTACAGTCTGAGAATGAGTCACTCATGGCGTGTCAACACTTCAGTCTAAATGCTGCTCTTTCTCAGACAATATAGTGCTTTGTTAGTGCGCTAAAACGTCATTGTGATTTTTTTGCATAAAATATCATAACCATGGCTCCAAAGCAAGTTAGTGATACCAGCAGTAAAGCTAGAGGAAAACTGAGAACCACGATAGAATTAAAGAAATCATTGCAGCATTTGAAACATCACCACCACTTGTCTGATTTGGTGGCCAAACAACATGGCTAAGTCTCAACATCATCAACATCTTTGGGGGGGGGCGTAAATGTGATTAAAGCAGCAAATGTAGTGAAAAGGGTGAATTGTTAACCATGAAGCAGAGAACATAGATCATCAAAGAGGTTGAAGAGTTAATGTGAGTTTGGGTAAATCAGAAACAACTCGATTGGTGATAGTGTATCTGAAATAGTGACATGGGAGAAGATCTGAAACAGTAACATGGGAGACGGCGAAAAGCCTCTATAGTGATTCAGAGTCCTTTTGGGCCTCGACACCAGTTGCTTGGTTTTCCATTATTTCTTACTGGAACAATGCATCCAGTTCTTTTCTGTGTTTTTTCTTTTTTAACACTTGAGTTTAACAACTGAGGTATCACATATATAGAAGAAGTAGAATTAAAGAAGAAAAGATGTGCTTATGACTTGGCAGCCATGTTCCCTGAGTCTCCATCCTTTTTTACTTTCCTGATAATGCCCTTTGGTACGCAAGAGTCTTTAATTTTTACTAAGTCTAACTTAAAAACATTTTTTGTTTCTGTTGACTTGTGCTTTTGCTGTCATATTTTTCAAGAAACTGCTGCCAGATCCAAGACCATGCAGATTTTTGCCTGTTTCCTTCTAAGAGTTTTATAGTTTTAATTCTTACAGTTAAGTGTTTGACCCATTATGAGTTCGTTTTTATAAGTGGTGTGGAAATAGGAGTCTACACAGCGCTGCAGGGGACACAGTGCAGGAATTGTGCCTGGTCTGACACCCGCCGCACCCCTCTCCCCCACTCCCCGCACTCCCTAGGGCGAAACATGAAGGAATCGCAACAGAGCAGCAAGGGTAGCAAAGCAACGAAGTTCCCAAGGAATCCCAAAATTAGACTTCAGACTCAGGGCTTGGCACCTCACCAGACTCGATCAGAAAACTTACATAAGGGTCAGCAGACAGACCTAGAACTATTTATAACCCCGCCCCCTTCTTTTTATTTATTTGTTTCATGTCTATAGAAGATAGGCAAGATAAACAACCCTGAGGAGTAAACAATGGGGCCAATAGTTTTGGGGAGACAGGAGAAGTTGGGTTGTGGGGGGGAAAGAGAGGGGAGAGCCAAGGACAAGGGAACAAGAAGAGATCTAAAATCAATGGCGTAGAATGCCTGCTGAGAGGAATTACTGAGAGCCAAATGAAGGTCTAACATGATAGTGGGAGAGAGGAAAGTAAAAGGTAATTGAGGATAGAACTAGCAGGCAAGAGACATAGAGGTTTAAATACAGGTGTGTGCATATGTAAATATATTAGTATATAATTATAGGAGCATAGTCCTGTGTATATATATTTATATGTTAAGTATTAGGGATGCGAATGAGTGGGGTCAGAGTAGAGACCCAAAGCCCATCTGAAGAGAAGTGGACGTCCCCTCACAGAAAGGTCACATGAAAGGCATGAGTCAGCCAGGGTCAGCATAGCACCGAGGAAACACACATTCTTTAATGCTTCCCCCCGCCCCCCTCCCACTATCATGACCCCAGTTCTACCTTACAAACCCAGCTAGACTGGGGCATGTCTGTACCCTGGTGCAGGTAAGAGCTGGATACCATGACAGGGGAAAGTGGGAGGAGAAAGGGAACTAATAGCAAGGATCGACTTACAACACCCTCCACCTCCCCCACCCCCGACAAGAGAAACATAGGTGACGGGTGACAGCAGATAGTATAAGATAAGAAAACAATATAGTTTATCCAGGGTTTAAGGGTGGAGGGTAAGAGAGTAGGGGAGGGAGGGGTAAAAAGAGCTGATACCACTGGTTCAGTTAGAAAGAAAGTGTTTTGAAAATGATGATGGCAACATATATACAAATGTGCTTTATACATTTGGTGTATGGATTGTTATAAGAGCTGTAAGAGCCCCAATAAAATAATTTATTGTTTTAAAAAAAAAAGAAAATAGGGGTTCAGATTCATTCTTCACATGTAGAAATCCAGTTGTCCTAGAATCATTTGTTGAACAGACCATTCTTTCCCAATTGAGTAGTCTTAGCACATTTATTAAACGTTGACAAGTGTAAAAAAAAAGAAAAAGTTGACAAGTGTATAGTTTTCAATTATTTTTAAAGAACTACAATGCAAAGTAAAAGTATTTGTGGTAAATGAAATTAATGGTTGTTATAAAGCTGATTAATCTAGTACTCACTGATATTCTAAGTAACTTGGGTATTTATATTAAGCAATATTTGTTTATCTGAGAATAAATACATAATGGGAAAGTTTGTACTAATATTACCTAGTAATATTTTTCCATTGCAGCTGCACTGTACATTTTACAGTTGCAACATGGAGTTCAGCTCTGAAAAGAACTTTAAAGAAAGAATAGTTAACAGGCTCGTAAATGGTTTTTCTACAATCATATATATAATTATTAAGGAATAAGGACAAATATGTGAACCACTTAATAACATGGATGAACCCTGAGGACATTATGCTGATTGATGTTGTAACTCACAAAAGGATAAACAGAGATCATTATTATGAAAAGTCGAGTAAGTCACAGGCTAGATAAGTGTTAGCTTGGATGGCTATGGGTCAGATGTGACTCAACAGCACCTGACAGCATGATGGAGGAAAAGTGATGAAAACTTGGTAGTCATAAGCACCTGGAAGGAATGAGTCACTGGACCCTGGGAATCAGAACCGTAGTTTTGCAGGGGGGGGAACACAACAAGGTCAATTGGCATAAAATAGTTCGCAAAGATAATATTCTGTACCTACTCTGGTGAGTACCTACTGAGGTCTTAAAGCTTGTCAGCAGCCATCAAAATAAAGTACAGCTGTTGGTCTCTCCTCGCCCAGAGGAAAGAAGAGTGATGAAAATGGAAAGGCTGGTAGATTTAGAGACAGTTACACCAATGGACACACAGCCTCGGTCCTCACAACCCTGGCACTAGCATAAAGAGATGGTGCCCAGCTGCCCTACCGACTCTGAAAATGATCACATTAGAAAGACATATAGAATGAGGGAGCAGGGAGTGTGGAATGGAACTCCAAATAGAGACCATGGCTTACTGGTGGAACCCCCAAGATTCCAACCCTTGGCCACCCTGCAGGACTGGAAGGGAACTTATTCTGTATTTGTAAAATCAGCTATTTAGGATCAATGAAGCAGTGTTAGCCCAAGGACAAAGTTCAGAGGGTTTGGGGAAGAAAGAAGAATGAGAACAAGGGTCAGAGGGAAGTAGGACAAGGGAGGGTGCGTTGAAGGGATTGCAGTGGGTGAGCTGAAATAAAATAGATGAATTGTTTAATTTAAAACTGATAATCTGCTCTATAAACCTTCACCTATTTCACATTATAAGATTTTAAAAATAAACTTATTTAATGGGGATTCTAAATAAATAAAGCTATAGAGAGAGTTAGTAGCAAGACAGGGACTTCATGATGATTCCTGCTCATATTTTCTTTCTGTAGTATGCTATGTAACTCATAATGGAAGATGTTTCCTGAGATAAGCTCAAAATGCAAACTGTCCAGATTAATTCTGGCTCCAGATAAAGAAGTAGATGGTTTTCCAATGGGTGGCTATGAAATGACATTTGACAGGAATTCTTATCTGACACTGTTAGGCAGATATTGGATTGATTAATCAAAAACAAAGAAATCCATTTAAATAGGACCTTGTGACATGGTGGGGTAGACAATGGGTTACTAACCACAAGATTGGATCCACCAGCTACTCTGGGAAAAAGATAAAGCAGTCTGCTCCCATAAAGATTAATAGTCTCAGAAGCTCATAGCGAACACTTCTGCTTTAGAACCTTGACACTTTAAAGCATATATAGGAACGTTTTTTTATTTTATTGGTGTAATGTGAAATTATTTTATCTGCAAAATCAATCTACTGGTTAGATTTATATATTGTCTCTTTTGCATTAAGCTTTAGTTTCTCTTAGGCTGTCGAACCCTTTCGATTTGTATAGTCCTTCTCTGCCTTGCACCACCCAGTTCATGATTATCTTCCCATACCTAATTTAACAGAAATTTTTCTTAGCATCCTGCCTGTTTCAAGTCTTTCCAAAGCATTTGCCTTGGTTTCTATAAAAACAATTTTCTTATTCTACTCATATTTTGTTGTTCTATAGAGGACAACATAACACATACAAGTGACCTAAATAAGTTTGAGGGAATCACAGATAAAATAGACAATAAGCAACTTTCTAAGCTTGTAGAAATCAGGAGCATCAGAATGTCATAAAGTGAAAATGAAAAACATAGTTTGTGAAGCCACTACTTGTAAATTGGTTTTAAAAGCCTCAGCATATTTTCATTTGTATATGCAACATCAATATGATACTAAAGTAAAGTTTTATGCACTACCACACACAAAGAAAGATGGTGGTGGTACTGTTGAGTACATATTGCACTGGTAACCACAAGGTCAGCAGTTCAAACTCATTAGCTGCTCTTCAGGAGAAAGATGAGGCCGTCTGCTCCCATAAAGTCTAGGAAATGCTATATAAAGTCATTGTGACTTGGAATTGACTAGGTTTGGGTTGATACCACAAAAGTATATCCCAGGTATATTATTATCTGAAGAAAATAACAGCACACATATTAAGATATGTGTGTGTATAGAAGTCTGGAACGAAAATTTGAATCATAAAAAAAATAGTCCTTGATCTAGCATATCAGTGTGGGTGACTTTTTGTACTTTCTGTCATGTAGTTCTGTGTTGCTTGAAATTTTTTACCCTTGAACATTAATTATAAAATTATCTTGAGCTTTTCATTTTGAGAGGAACATTTTTTAAATGTGTCATTGTAACAAAAAACCTCCCTGGTAGAGTTTAGGTAACAGGAACGAATAGTTTAGGTTAGATATTCATTCCTTCTTAACATCTTCTGAAAGTGAGCCATCTTGGTGTCATCTCTCTTGATACAGCAATGTTGCCTTAGAAAAGAACAGAAGAGGATTTCTCTCAGTTTATGTAAATGTGATGGCATTGCATAACTTTTCTTTCTGGGTTTATTTTGCAGGAAGATTTCGATGTTGATCATTTTGTGTCTGAATGTAGGAAACGCGTCCAGCTAGAAGAACTTAGAGATGATCTTGAACTCTACTATAAACTTCTAAAGACTGCCATGGTTGAACTCATCAACAAGGACTATGCAGATTTTGTCAACCTTTCCACAAACTTGGTAAACTGAACTCCCACTTCCTACTGGCCAGTACACACACACATTTCTGTCATGTTTACTTAAAAACGCTGCGTGCTGTTAGAAACCTTTCAAGTTGATTTTCTTCCTATAACCTTGAAAGGGTTACTACTTTCATTTATACAATGAACAGACTTTCTTTGTTTACATTTTTAAAACTAATTTGAGACTGTTCTAGCCTGGTCGTTTTTCATTGAGGTAGTAAATATTAGTGAAAAATAAAAGATAATAACAATAGAGTGATTTTTTTGTGTCTGTTGTTATCTTGCTTACTTATTATCACGAGTCCTGATGGTGTAGTGGGTTATATGTTGGGCTACTAACTGCAAGGAAAGCAGTTCAAACCCACCATCTATACGCAGATGAAAGATTAGGCTCCTATAAAGATTTACAGCCTTGGAAACTCTGAGAACAGTTCTCCTCTGCTTATAGAGTTGCTGTGAGTCAAAACTGACTTGATGGCAATGGGTTGGTGTGGTTGACCGAATACCATGGAATAAGGTGAAATGGAGGCCCTCCACAAGACAGATTGACACAGTGGCTGCAACAGTGGGCTCAGGTATAACTAAGGGTGGCGCAGGACCAGACAGTGTTTTGTTTGTTGTGCACAGGGTTGCTATGGGTGGAACTGACTTGATACCTAACAACAACAGTATGGAATAAGGAACCCTGCTGGTGCGGTAGGTTGACCTTTGGTCTGCTACCTGCAAGGCCAGCAACAAACCCACCAGCTGGTACGTGGTAGAAAGATGAGCCGACTAATTCTGTAAATATTTAGTCCTGGAAACCATATGGAGCAGTTCTACGCTGTCTTCCAGGGTCACTGAATTGAATCAACTTGGCAGCAGTGGATTTGGTTGGTACATAAAATCTTGCTGATTTAGACTAATTTGCAAGAGAAAAGAAAAAAAAGCATGCTTAAGGGAATGCCTAATTTGCTTCCAGGTACATGTCTAACCCATGCTAGATTGAGGTAACATTGTTACTTGTAAGTAATTGGTTTTATAAAAATGAAAGAATAATTTGTGATGAAGGTATAGGTTGTTTGCAAAAGTTGTTTAGACCACCTTAGTGCGATTTGTCTTGCACTGTTTTCTGTTGGGTTTCCCAGCACAGGAGGAATGGAGCTATGATGATAGTAACTGATACAAAGTGTTGTAGGGAATGCAGGGGTGAAGAAGGGGTGATGGGGAGGGAGGGTTGGGGGATTTCAGGGTGAACAGTGAAGCAGTAGTGAGAGGGAGCACTAGAAATGATGGTGATTGCACAGCTCAGTTTGAAGGTTATGTGACCATGGAGGGGGGTGGAGGACTCTAAGATAGATGTGACTGTACAACTCCCCGTGATGTGATTGAACAATTGAAGTGTTCAACTGTGTGGCATGTGAACTATGTGCCAGTAAAACCGTTGGGGGTAAAGTAGTGTTTTAGAAACCTTGCTTTTTAGTCCTCACACAGTTTGTCTTTAATCTTCTTGTCCATATTTTAATTTCCTTTATTTGTCAAAAGAAGTACAGAAATTAGTCAACTCTGTTGGAATTTTGAAAAGCATTAAAATTAATGAACCATATTTATTTTCATGAAACATCAACTAAGAATGTTCTAGTAGTTCTAGAAAGGTAGAAAATTTTATTTGAATTCTATTTAATTTGGATTTCTCCCCCAAGGGCTATGATAATTTAAATGAGATCCGACTTTCACATCAGCTAGTTGGATATTGTAAATTAGAGACAGCTCTTCACTTCTAGTTAGAAATCTTCAAATTCATTTAAAATTTTTATTGTGCTCATGTACATAGTTTATTCATGTTTTATCAATATTTAATGGCAAAGTAACTTTTCTGATATAAAACCTAAATTCATTACATATGCAATAATTAAGTTGCTTTTTCCTGATTTTGATGTGTTTATATCAACATGATTCACCTTCAGGTTGGCATGGACAAAGCCCTCAACCAACTTTCTGTGCCTTTGGGACAATTACGAGAAGAAGTTCTGGTAAGTCCCCAAGTAATAAATACTATAGTTTCTCACGCAGCATGATCTATGTGTGCACTCCGATTTGCCAGGTTTGTTTGTGCATGTGTGTAGTATCCGTGGTTATAGTACTCACCCTTTATGGCCCTCTCTCAGATGATAAATTATTCTCTTTTTGCATGGTACCTTACAACCCAAAAAGAGTGTTTGACTTAAAGATAACAGTTTCTCAGAATAAAGAGCTTTAGATTGTCAGTGAAAATTCAGTTTATTAATGGCACAAAACTACTGTCAGTGCTCCCCGACTTACAAATGGCTTATCTTTCTTACATTTCTTTTTCCCAGACAATATGACAGCTTCCTCACCTGGTACACAAAAGCTGTTTAGCCCATAATATGGTTGAAAGATAATACTCATAATGTAAGAGCTAACAAGTGTTATATTTTAATGTTTTCTTACCACAATGCCTGTTTTGATCCCTGAGCCATTGGTGACAGGGTTTTCATCTGGACGAACAATTGACCTAACCTAGATGTCACTTCCCACAGAAAACTGAGCTGCCTTGTGTCTTGCCACCTTCAGTCTGCTTTAGGGCTCCTCTTGTAGACTCCCTTAGAACTCCTGTTCCTTCCATTAAACTTATTTTATGTTTGTCACCACTGGATTAGCGTCATCTTGTATACTCTTACTCACCTAGCTCATAGTGCCTGGCCCAGAGAAGGTACTCTTAGATAATATAAGTATATATTCAGTACATAGATCATGTGGGGGCGGGGGAATGCAAAATTGCAGAAATATTCAAAATCAAGGAAGACAGGAAAGAATTCTTAGAGATGTCTTGAATTTGGGCTGGAACTAATATTTTCATATTCTTTCTAATATTGGAGTCTTTTTTGATTGAGTGAAACATACACCCCACTTTTCAATGTTTTTCTTTGGAGTTGAAGCAAAGCGGCTTTTGTGGTACACAGCCTGTGCCGGTCTTTTCCTTCCTTTCCCTTGTGCCTCCATTCCGCTCTTTCCTTGTAGGTGTGGTTTCCGAACCGTCAGCTTGCCGCTCTTCTCACTCTAAATTCCCCTGACTTCTGCCCTGAACGTTTGTCATTTATTCACACATACAGAGACTAATCCTACCTTGCTAACAGCCAGCTCCAGCTCCATTTCCCCTCTCTTATTCCCCCTTTATAATGACTTTTTTCCTAATCAGTTAGCCACAGAGCTGTGCTTCCATTGTAATTCACAAAGCTCTGAGATTTTAGGTTCTCTCTCTGAGGGCTCAGAGAGTGTTATTGTGTGTTATTGACCCCTCATTGACTAGCACAGTGACTGGCATTTGAGAAGTATTTTCTTTTTAAAATCATTTTATTGGGGGCTCGCACAACTCTTATCACAATCCGTACATACATCCATTGTGTCAGGCACATTTGTCCATTTGTTACCATCATCATTTTCAAAACAGTTTCTTTCTACTTGAGCCCTTGGTATCAGCTACTCATTTTTTCCCTCCCTCTCCCACCCCCTCTCTCATGAAGCCTTGATGATTTATAAATTTTTTTTTTCATGTCTTACGCTGACCAGTGTCTCCTTTTACCCACTTTTCCATTGTCTGTCCTCCTGGGAGGGGGTTATATGTAGATCATTGTGAAGGGGAGAAGTATTTTCTTAATATTAATTAGTTAACTGAATGATTGACCTTTTTATTTAGAATATGTGATTTGCCTTTAGACTGAGTTCTCTAGAAAAGCAAAACTAGTGAAGTCAGAGGTGTATGTCAAAGAAGTAACTCTAGTTCCAAATCTTTGAGTCCTATGTCAGCCTGGAAGCTTCTCTTGGCTCTAGAAACTGCAAGAACTGATGATCCCAAATCTGCAGCTCAGACAGCGGGTTTTTGGTTGACAAGGAGAATGAACCATGGTTGGCAGGTAAGCCGGCCGGCCGCTGAGGAGTCCCAGGGGCAGCTGGCAAAACAGCAGGCTTTTGGCTCAAGTCCAGAGAATTGGGGTCAGAGGACAAACCATATGTAGTATCCAGGCAGCCAAAAACAGGCAAGCTGTTTTCTCATCAATCTGCTTGCTTGGATTTTGTGTCTGGGTCTGTACCAGCTGTTGTCCATGTAAGCTTGCTGAACCTGAGTGGTCTCAGCCCTGTCATGTTCCTGCTGACTTTGAATCCATGCTTAATCTGTGATCTCTCCACTTAGACTTTTATATTCCTGCTTCATCAACCAGCAGAAGGGGACTCCAGCTAGCTTCTGACTTAAGGACTTGAGTTGGACTGGGCTGGGCCTCTTCCATGATAAAAATTTCTTTCTTCACATAAAGTTCTTTTGTGTGTGTATATGTATGTGTGTACATGTCCTGGTTTTGTTTCCCTAGAAAACTCATCCTAACACATGGGTGATTAGTTTTTCCAACTCTTTAAAGAATGATGTTGCAATCTGGATTGGAATTGCATTACATTTATAGATCTCTGGTGGCATAGTGGGTTCCAGTTGGCCTGCTAACTGCATTATCAACAATTTGAAATGAACGGTGGCTCCTCAGGAAATAGATGGGGTTTTCTGTTCCTGTAAACAGTTACAGTCTCAGAAAACACACAAGGACAGTGATACCCTATCATATAGGGTCACGGTGAGACAATTGAGTTGGTGGCAGTGAGTTTTCAGTAGTATTGATAGTGTCACAGTTATTCTATCCATGTACATCGAGTATTCTTCCATTTATGTTGGTATCTTTTGTTTGTTTGTTATGGTAGTTATAGTAGTTTGGTTTATAGTAGTTTGGTATATGGTTTGTTATAGTAGTAGTCTTTTTTCCCCCAACAGTTTTATTGTCACATAATTTACCTATCATACAATTCAATAGTTCAATCATTCAATCATATCAAGAAGAATTGTACTATCATTACCACATCAATTTTAGAATTATACCCCCAATGGTTAAATCACCTTTAAAGTGAGTTGTGCGATCACAATCACTTCTAGTGCTTCCTACCCACTCCTGCCTTCATTGTTTACTCTGGAAATCCCCTTCCCTTCCTATCACCTGCCCTATAAACCCTTGTATCAGTTATTATCACTGTGCATCCACTCCTCCTGTGCTTCATAAACTAGAAACCCACCAGAAACAATAAAAAACAAAATCAAAATTAGGGGGTGAGGATAAAACAACAGTATTATAAAGACAAAAATACAAATAATGAATAAGAAAGAAAAGACCCTATTAGCATTTAAAAAGCCATGGAAGAAATTCCTGTCTTGGAACAAGTAAGAGATACTTGGACCCAGAGCAAATTCAAGTTGGGTCTGTAGAGAGGTCAAGTGGCCAAGTATCAAGTTCGATCCAGCATTATCAAGATATCAGTGGTCTGTGCCTGATAGTAAGGTTGTTTGAGACTTACCTGAAGCTACAGGTGATCTGCCAACAGCTCAGTCTGATTAGATACTCTGCAGATGGGTTTGGGCTCCCACTGTCCTCCATAGCCTTCTACAAATCCATAGCCTTCTACAAATTGGGTGTTCACAATTTCGACACTGATACTTTTCCCTTTCTCATATTTGAATTGTGTTATTGTCTTTGGATCACACAAGCTGGTGTTCTTCTGTGTGGACTGGTTAACTCCTCGCTTAGATGGCTGCTTGTTTGAATACAAGCCTTTAAGACCCCAGACACTATTCCAGTTGATAGCCAGGCACCATTTGCTTTCTTCACCACACTTTGCTGTAGCACCCTTATCTTCAGTGATCATTTCATGAAGGTGAGTATCGAGCAGGGCCATGTTATCAGAACGAACTGTTGTTGATTTGGGGCTAGAGTTTAAGTAGGAGCCCAGATTCCACTAGCTTGTCCATGGGGTTTGCACATTTCAGGTTTACTCTGGTGGTCCTAATATGACAAAATCAAAATTGTATAAGGCTAACTGCTCCAATAGCAACCATAGCCAACCAGTAACCAAACAGAACACACACACACACACACACACACAAAGAAAGAAAGAAGAAAGAAGCTACAAGCCGGAAAGCAAAAACCCATATAAACAAAAGAAGTACAGCATTGTCAATCACCCCCCTAGGGTATAAGTTGATTGCATTATTATCATCATCAATTTTCCCAAAGACCCAGCACTCCACACACTGTTGGTGTAAGGAGTCTATGCTCGATGCAAGTACAGTTCCATCCTCAGCCACAGAACTGGAGCCAGGTGAAAGGCATGCCTTGTAGGTGTAAGAACCGTAGAATGGAGTTCTCCCAAGAACTTTCTGATGATCTTTGCCATTGGAATCTTATGTGCCCCAGGTATGAAACAGCTCTGGCCACAATCCAGGCATCAAGCTAGAATGAACAAAGGACTGCACGTCTGTTCTGCCCTTGACTGATTTAATAGCACCACCCCCAATTAGGTGTCTTTTTGCCCATTGTCAAAGAGTAATAGTCATGTTTTTAAATTTATTTTTCAGAATTCTCTTCATTAGTATACAGGAATATGATTGATTTAAGTCTTTGGGGTTTTCTGCATAGAGAATTATAGTATCTGCAAATGGAGAGATTTTTACTTGTTCTTTGCCAATTTGGATGCATTTGATTTTTGTTGTTGTCTAAGCTAAGGCTTTCAGCACAATGTTGAATAAGAGTAATTATAAACGACATCCTCTCTACTTTAAATGACATTCTTGTCTGCTTCCCATTCACAGAAAGAATGCTTTCTGTTTCTTCAGATTGAGTGATATGCTGGTTTATGACATGGCCTTTATTATGTTAAGGATTTCTCTTCTGTTTTTATTTAGTTGAGTGCTTTTTATGTAGAATTGGTCTTGGATTTTTCAGATGCCTTTTTTGTATCAGTTGATATTGGATATTGTTCTTTTATTTATATATAGTGATCATTTTTCTAATGTTGAACTGACCTTGTATACCTGTTATGTATTCCATTTAATCATGATATTTGTTTTTTCTATATTTTGTTGAATCCAACAAAATTGACTAGGATTTTTGTTTAGAATTTTTTCATCTATATTCATAATATCTATACTTTTCTATTGTAATATCTTTGCATGATTTTAGTATCAGGATTGTGCTCACTTCATAAAATTTAGGACATTTGCCATCTTTTTTTATATTCTGTAATAGTTTGAGTATCACTGTTGTCAAATCTCTGAATGTTTGGTTCAATTCCTAGGTGAAGCCAGTTGGTACAGTTTTGTTATTGGGTGTATTTTGATGGCCTCATCTGTTTCTTCTTTTGTTTGGGGTCTCTTGAGTCTGTTGTCAAATGCCTTTTCTGCATCAAATGATATTACATATAGTTATTTGCAGTGTGTGTTAATTTAGATAAGTAGTGTGTTTCTAAAAATTTCTTCTAGGTTTTCAAATTTGTTGGTGTACTATCCTTCATAGTGTTGTGTTACCGAATTTTCTGGAGTACTATCCTTCATAGTGTTGTTATTATCTCTCTTAGTTGATTGTGTTGTGATATCAGCCCTTTTCTTTCTTATCCAGGTTATTTGCATCTTCCCTCCTTCTTTTCCTTGGTTAAGTTTGCTAGTGGTTTGTCAATTTTGTTAATACTTTCAAAGAGCCAATTATTTTCTTGTTGATTCTATTTCTTTCTGATCCATTTACTTCTGTTTTCATCTTTATTACTTCTTCTCGTAGTTGAATTATTTTGCTGCTTACTTTAATTGTTGAAGATGTTGGGTTAAGGTGTTTACTTGCATTCTTCCTTTTCAGTATTTGAATTTATTGCTATAAAGTCCCTTCTGAATACATTAGCAGCATCTCAAAGGTTTTAGCATATTGTATTTTCATTCTTGTTTATTTTAAAGGAATTAAAATTTTTTATTCCTTAATTCTTTAGTTTTTTCAACACAAAATATTGTTCACTTTCCATGTATTTAATTTTTCCCCTTGACCCTATTATTGTTGATTTTTAATTTTACAACACTGTAGTCTGAGAAGGTGTTTTGTAATATTTTGATGATTTTATGTTTATTAAGACTTACTTTGTGGCCTAGCAAATGGTCTATTCTGGAGAATGTTGATATGCCCTGGAAAAGAATGCATGCTATATGTGTGTAAGAGGTATACATGATTGTTTTGTTTAGTTCTTCATCTTAAATTAGTTTCTTTCTAGTTTTATCCTTTCTTTAGAATGATGTATTGAAGTCATATTACTATTATTGTAGTATTGAATATGAGTCAAATCTATGTGGGTTGAATCATTGTTCTGAAAGTCTGTCATTGGCTTTTTAGATATTTATTATTATTGCATCATCTCGTTCAGTCATTCTTTTAATTGTTATGTAATGCCCTTCTTTGCCTCTCATGATGAATTTTGATTTCAAAAGAGGGAACCGATTACAAAGAACTATATGTGACCTCCTCCCTGGGGGACGGACAACAGTAAAGTGGGTGAAGGGAGACGTCGGACAGGGCAGGATATGACAAAATACCCATTTATAAATTATCAAGGGCTCATGAGGGAGGGTGGAACGGGGATGGAGGGGAAAAATGAGGACCTAATGCCAGGGGCTTAAGTGGAGAGGAAATTTTTGAGAATGATGAGGGTAATGAATGTACAAATGCACTTTACACAATTGATGTGTGTATGAATTGTGATAAGAGTTGTATGAGCCCCTAATAAAATTATTATAAAAAATAAATAAATAAAGTTTGTTTTACTCCACTGCTTTAAATGGAGTAACTTCTGAATGGTGGTGTCTTGTATGTGGATCTCAAGTTGTCTGTTCTTGTTGATTGTTCAAAGCACAAATACCCTTTAATAATTTATGTAATGTTGATCTGATTTTTTTTCCTTTTGTATCTGGATAGGTCCTTATTTCTACCTCATATTTGAGGAATAATTTTGCTGCATATAAGATTCTTGCTTGGCAATTATTTTACCTTCCGAGTTTTATGTGTGCCACTCCAGTACCTTCTTGCCTACATGGTGTCTGCTGAAAAATCAGAGTTTAGTCTTTGTGGGTCCCCTTTGAGGTAACTTTTTCTTTTTATCCCATGCTGCTTTCATGATTCTTTCCTTGCCTTTCATGATGGAAACTTTGATTATGATGTTGTAGTGATAATCTTTAAGATTCTATCCTGTTAGTGATTCTTACAACCTCTTGAATGGTTGTTTTCTCCAATTTCAATATGTTAGGGAAATTTTGTTCTGGCAGCTTTTGGACCGTTTTCTTTTTTGGTTTATTTCTTCTTGTTCTGTATTGCCTACTAGACAGATGCTATTTCTCTTGATAGTGTCCCGTGTAATTCTTAGGTTTACTTTGACTTTCTTTGATCTGTTTATGGATTGTTGTTCCGGTGACTTTTGGTATCAAAATTTGTCTTCAAGGTCACAGATTCATCATTTCCCCAAAGATTATATTCATCAAGGCCTCAGTGCTTAAAAGTTCTCATTTTCCAGTATGTAAAATCTAGTCCAAGCATTTAAATAATGCCTTCATACATTTAACCCCTCACTATGCATGTATCCAGCTACATTTCCACTTCTGCCTGCCAAGTCTATGCCTCACTGACTCATTTCTGCTTTCCTGCCTTTTGTCTTTGCATCGTCTCCTGTCCACCCTTCTCAGCATTCACAGGTTTCCAAATCCTGGCTCAAGTAAATCTTCATAAAACTTGCCTGTGCTTTGACTCAGATTATCCTTTTGGTAACCTGACCACCAATGAAATTCACTTGCTATTATTTTTATTTTGACAGTTAACTATATGTGACCTTTTTTTAATAGGTCACATTTTATGTATTTCTTGAACAGTAATCATATCTGATATTTTGTATTACTAACAATATCTACATAAGACTGGCCTGTCAATATTAATTTTTGTAAAATTAAGTTAAATAGGTAAATTTTATAACAAATTCTACATTTTCTTTTTTCTTTTAAAGAATCTTAGATCATCTGTGAGTGAAGGAATTCGGGCAGTAGACGAACGGCTGTCCAAACAAGAGGACATTAGGGGCAAAAAGGTATATTCAAGTATGTTAAGACATCAACTGTGTAATACATATGTGTGATATGTGTATTCCCATATATATGGTTTTATTCTGTTTAGCAACTATACAGAGCACAAAGATGGTGTCTCTCTTTTATATTTAGGAAACAGTAGTTCAGAAAGGCTAATGATGGGTAGAACCAATGTCAGAGCCCAGGTTTTTTGCTCCTGGACTGACTAAAGTACGGATAATAAGATGCTTATTTTAGAGTAATTTTTAAGAAAGCAAAATCACATATTTTCTTTGGGCTTTAATTTGCTCATGGTAGCAGTACATGTTTAAAGAAAGCTTTAGAATTCTTGTTACAAGTCAACTAAAGACTTATCGTGCCTTCATACTTTTCAGCACTATGAACCCCTTTTTCACAAAGGTCTTGTTGCATGTCCGTACCTTGGTGTCCTCAGCTAGTGGTCTTGAACTTCTGGGTTTGTGGTTAGCAGCCTAATAAGGTGTAGCCCACTACACCACCAGGGTTTCTTTGCTTATATGTAATTCTCTATTATAATATTATTTCTCTATTTGAAGTAAAAGAATTTTAGAAGTACCCACGTGATCAGGAAATTATTAAAGTTCCCCATTTTTCAAAAGAGCACAGTAATAACTGATAACAGCAAAACACTTTAAGGGTTAGAAACCATATTATTTTTTAGCAACCATATAAAGAAGTTATTCATATTTTAGACAACAGGAAGTTAATAGGCATGCTAAAGCCAATGATTTCAACATTCCACTGCAGATTTCTAGCTTTTAAAAATGTAAGAGTTTCTTACTCTGCCACATTTATTTCTTCTTTTGTTCCCCCTTATACATACATGTGCATACACTTCCTTTACTTTCAGTGATCCTGTCTCTGTACTTTGATTTTATTTTTCTGGTTTTATTATTCTCATGTTATCTTGGATGAAGTGGAATTAGAATTCAAGACTTCTCACTGTAGCATAATACTATTTCCGCTTTTGAAATTTATTAGCATTCCTGTTTTATATCTTTAAGGGAGATAAGTCTGCTTTAGAAATATACTTGCTTAATTTGTCTTTGGATCCCTTCTCAGCATTTATACAAATAATCCAAGAATGCAATGTGTTTCTAGGAAAAATATCGTAAGCATGTGAGAACAGGGAATTTATTAATCACCCATGTCTTCTGTGTTTAGAATACCTGGTAAATAATACATACTTAATAACTGTTTGTTTAATGAATGACTTTTTCCCTGCTCTTTTAAAGATAAACATTTTTGCATTCCTTGGCCTTTCACCAACCCAATGAAGAGCTATTTTTCAAAGAATAAACTATATGTCTTATGAAATAAGTGTCTTCATTGACTATTCATTCACATGACTATTTGTGTTGATAATTAGGTGTGTCACACACACATAAAGACATGGTTAAAAACAAAATTTTAAACATCAAGAAAGGAACTTAGGAAAATGTAGTGTAAGTGAAGACATTCATTATGAGAAAAGAAAGAAGATGTAAGAATAAAGAATGTGAGAAATAAAAAATATTTTTTTTAAATTGTAAAAATGTAACCAAATATTGATGATGTTTTTTCTAGAAAGCCAATGTTAAGATCTGCATTTTTGGGAATTGAGTGTTATGTAGAAGTATTCAGAATAGAGAAATTCTAAGCTGACTTTTGGCTTTGTCTTTCCAAGGGAAAATAAAGTAGTGAGGATTAAACATACTATTTTTTTCCTAAATTTTATTTTTATAGATGTGTGTATTAAGGCTTATACAAGTAATTCGATCAGTTGAGAAAATTGAAAAAATATTAAGTGCTCAAAGTTCAAAAGAAACATCTGCACTGGAAGTAAACAGGTAAGTTCTTTTTACTAAATATCACATCAAATCTAATTTTTATTTTACTTGGAACTGATTGCTTACAAAGAAGAAAACCTAAGTTTATGTAACTCGAGGAAAGTTGAGTATATTAAATAGTTAAGTTTCATTGAGTGTGTGTAACAGTAAAATACCCATTATTGTAAAACAGTTTTAGCATACCACATTTGTGGGGATTAAAGGCAGAATGCTCAGTGTGGGAGAGTTTTCTCTTTGGAATTGCCTCAGCCATGAGCTGACAAAAGCCTGTTGACTTTCAGGATGTGGAATAGCATTTACATGTTTAAGGTATTTTTTAGACGTGCTCAGAGTATTACAGTTGATGTATCTTGACGTTCAGAAAACAGTGGCAGTATAACATTAGGACAAGGTACAGGACACCTTTAGTTAAAATATATAAAGAAAAAGCTTATGAAATAGGAAAAAACATTTCTTTTGTTATGATTTCTTATTACCTTCTTACTTTGAAACGTATAATCCTCCAGTTAAATTGGTGACAAAGTGCATATAGAGTAGATCATATCACAATTAATGGGAAGCCCCACGACACCGTGGAAAAAGGAGACTCTGGATTTAGCTTGAGATGAGTTGTACATACCAGCTTGGTAACCTATGATTTCAGAGAATATAACCTATAATAGAATGTACAAACAAGACGCTGACACCACACAAGTTACCTTTTATAAAACTCAGCTACAGAATCTTTTCCAGGAAGTCTTCTCTGACCATAGACATTGTGTTTCTTCTTGCTCTGCATCACCTTTGGGAGCTTTCTTTAATTCAAGTCAGAAATCTTACTCTGTACAGAAAGTAAAACCAGAGCAGCATAAGTGAATCATAAATATATCATGCATATTAGACCTAAGAATATCTGGGTAATTTGTAAATAATAGTCCACAGTAGGTTATTCAGGGAAAAGTTAGGTATATTCAAGATAGACAGTTAACATTTTGCGTTGATTGTACTGGGCAATTTCCTTCTAAACTGGTTTCTTTCTCACTGCCTTTGAATCAATGCTGATTCATAGCAACCCTATAGGACAGAGTAGAACTGCCCCAGACTGTAACTGAGAGGTCAACACTGAGACACTGAATGTTAAAAGCGGCTTTATTAGGCTAGGGAACGAGCTCCCGGGAGGGAAGGGAGAGCAGAGAACAGGACAGGAACATCTAGAGCTCCCGGGCAGTTCCCAGACCCAACGAGTTTGGTCAGGGAAATCACGCCAGTCAGTGGGGCAGTGGGATATTTGTAGGATTTGGGTCAGGGAAGTATGTAAATGAGGTGAAGAGAGCTGCTGGTACTTGTGCTAATAAGGAGAAGGGAGGCTTCCTGGTGCTGCAGCTGCAGTCTGAGTCCTTCACAGACCAGCTTCTTGGAATGTGGGGGAAGAGGCTGCACAGTCTAGTTCTGGCCTTGAGAGGCGGGGGAAGGGGCGTGTGGACCCTGCCCGGAAGATAAGTTCCTTGGAATGCTGGAGGCAGGGACTGCGAAGTCCAGCAGTTCACTTGTCTTTCTGAGAGGCTGGGAGAAAGGGCTGCATGGTCCGGACCTGGCCCAAACAGTAACCTTTAGGGGAATTCAAGACCCTGTCTTTCTCCCAAGGAGCAAACTGGTGGTTTCAAACTGCTGATATTTCAGATCACAGCCTAAGGCGTAAAAACTACATCACCAGGGCTCCCTCTAAATTAGTTTAGGTGCTTCAAATACAGAACTGAGTAGATCAATAATGGTCTTATTTTCATCTATTCTTATGTTGTGGACTTTTTCTTCATTTGTCATCATCAGATATATGATGCTTTAAGAAAGCACAGGAAGTACTTCAATTGGCAATTTTATGCTTTTCCTCCTTTCTGTTCAACTTCCTTTTGAGTGGAATCAATGCATTAAAATATATTTTAAGGGGGGGCAGGATATTGCATTTATTACACTTTGAAGCAGATATATAGTGTGTGTAACAAAAACTAAGGTCTAGAGTATATAGATTGTTTTGACAACTATTTGACAAATGTAAATTTAAAGTAAATGATTATTTTTTTTACTTTTGGAGATACTTCATTTATTACTGCTTCATAGATCCTTAAAAAATGTAGAGGGTGCTGGAATGGCATTCATTATGAACAATTCCTATTCTCTAACTCAGCTTTTTAATTGTCCGTTTAAGGCTGTTGGGCAAGGCTGTTGAGCAAGGCATGAACTTCTAATCATTTCAGATTAAAAACGAAAGCATGTTGAGCATCTGTGTTGCCAACTTTGTGACGGACTATAAACATTATGCTTGATAGAGCTTTGCTTATTGGAATGGATTGCTTCTTTCAGTGCTAAGTGCTTCTGTACATCCTGTTCCTTCCCCTCCCTGAAACACCCTTTCTACACTTTTTGCCTATTTTTAACTCCTGCTCATCCCTCAGCTCTCCAAGCAGAAATAGAATTGACCATTTATTGAGCATTTACAGTGAACCATTATGCTAAGCACTTTGCAGGCTTGTTGCTAATTCTTCATAACCTCCATATGAGGTAGAAGCTATTTTTATCTCCATTGTACTTGAGGAAATTGGCATTTGAAAGGCTGAGTGATTTGCTGAAGGTCACATTTCATAAGGATAAGCCAAAACTAAATAAGCACCACAAATTGTCACTTAATGGATATATCTCTCCAAACCTCTAGCTTTTGGTTAGAGGCATTAACCCTGGGTAGTAGAAATAAATGTTTAATGTTCTCAGCTTCTAACCAGAAGCTCAGAGGTTATAGCCCACGTAGAGGTGCTTCAGAAGAAAGGCCTGGTGATCTGCTCTGTAAAGTCTGTCATTGGAACCCCATGGAGCACAGTTCCATTCTCACACAAACGGATTTACCATATACAGGAATTGATAGGCAAAGGGTTTGGTAACTTTCATTTCTCTAATGACTAGTATGGATATCTTATGCTTATATTTTCAATTATGTCCTCTCTAGTAAAGAATCTATTCAAACTTCTTGCCTATTTATTTATTGGGGCTGTTATCATTATAAAGGTTCTTAATATATTCTGATTATCAGTCCTTTATCAGATTTATAACCACAAACATTTTCTCTCAATTTGCTTACCTTTCATTTTTTAACAGTATTTCTCGAAGTGTAGAAGTTCTGAATTTTGATGAAGTCCATTTATCATTTTTTCTTTGTGGCTCGTGCTTTTGATGTCATACCTAAGGAATCTTTGTCTGGCCCTATGTATCAAAGATGTTCTCTTATGTCTTCTCAAAGTCTCTGTTTTAAGGTTTACAGTTAGGTCTTTGACTCATTTTGTGTTAACTTTTGTATAAAATGTAGTGTTTGCTTTAAAAAAATTTTTTAAGTATATGAATATCCAGTTATTCTAGCACTATTTGCTGAGAGATTGCCCTTTCTCCACAAAATTGTTTTTGTACCTTTGTCAACTCTCAGTTATCAATATATTTGTCACATACATTCTGAGTACTATATAGTCTATCTGATGTCAGTACCATGTTGTCTTAATTATAGGTAGTCCTTGGGTTATGAATAAATAATGTCTTTAAGAATTTGTGGGCCAGCAGAACAGATGCAAATGTTTCTTTCATTATTATTGTATTGTTGTTGAGGTGTTCGTGTATTGTTTGACTATTGAAGAGCATGGACTGTAATCTCTTTAGAAGCAGGTCGCCAGACCAGATTCTTTCATGGTGCCACTGGGTGGGTTTGAGCTGCCAACCTTTGGGTACTAGCTGAGTGAAGATAACCTGTACCACTCAGAAAACTTGTGCATATAGTTCTTATTCAGTCTAACTTTTAGTACAAGAGCCCTGGGTGGCAATGTGGGTAAAAAATTGATCTGTTAACTGCAATGTTGGCAGTTTCAGACCCACAAGCAACTCTGAGGAAAAAAGAGAAGTAGTCTGCTCCCATAAAGATTTACAGGAGGAAGGTAAAAGGACAAAGAGGAAAGATCTAGGAAGAAATGCTATGGATAGAAGTATAAGCAAAGGTGTGTACATATGTAAATACATTAATTCATAAAAATAGAGGTATTGGCCTGTGTACATAGATTTATATGGTAATACATTGAAGGAGTGGACGGACTTCGGGCCTCTGCTCATACCCTTGCTCAATGCAAGAGCACTTTGTTCTAACAACCTGGCATTCTGTGGTGCTCATCGTCCCAGCAAGATCACTGAAGACAAAAATGGGTGCATATGCAAATGTGGTGAAGAAAGCGGATGGTGCCTGGCTTTCAAAAGATATAGTGTCTGGGGTCTTAAAGGCTTGAAGTTAAACAAGTAGCCATATTGCAGAGAAGCAACAAGCCCTCATGGAAAAAGCACACCAGCCTGTGCAATCATGAGGTGTCA